AATAATTCAATAACTTGTTGAATAAAAGCGAATAGAGAAATAAAATGTTATCTTTTCCTACAAATGATTAACATCCAATTGTAAGAGATTCGAAAACAATTTCATTATTACTCACTTTCTTGGCAAAGCAAAGACAAATCGGTCTGTTGTGGGAATTTATTTTCTTCTTCATCTATCTTACTCGGTCTTGCTAGTAATCTCTCGATGCTGAAAGAACATAATCTCGGATTTTCCGCAGAATCACTTGTTTTCTTCGACGAGTCTAATTTTTTCATCTCTTCATCAGACATTTTGAACGCGTTTTTTCAAAACAATATTCAGAATATTCTGCTAGTAACATAAAATTGTCTTTTTGATATTCTCGAGTAAATATTTCACGCCCATTGAAAGATATTCTACAACTGATAGATTAATTTTTCAAGGATTATATTTTCAAGTTCCTTTTATCAATCTTAATATCACTCACTTAAAAAAAAAAGATTCGTTTTAAGCGTTGTTTACATGAACAGTAGTAGTAGTGGCCGTAGACATGTCGGGAATAAGTTGATTTTCCGGCTCAGCCAGAAATGGTTGATCTATCAACGTCAAATCGATGCTGATTCAATGTCGCTCGACGTCAAATCGATATTAATTCAATATTGGTCGACGTTAATTCGATATTGAGTGCTCAATCACTTGTAGCTGGAGATGTAATAGAGCGTAGAGTAAGTCCGTAAGCAAAATAGATTTTAACCCTTTTGTTTATGGACTTACTCTACGCCCTATTACATCTCCAGCTATAGTCGAATTAACATCGATTTGACGTCGAGTGACATTGAATCAGTTTGACATTAATCGATCAACCATTTCTGGCCGGAAAACTAGTTTATTCCCGATATATCTACAGCCTCTATTGCTACTGTTCATTGTAGACGACATTTTACACTACATACTTGTAATTAATCGACGTCTCAAAAATCAGGCAATTGATGATAGAACTTCACTGAAACTTAATTGCACAATTTCGATGTTTCACTTATTCTCTTTATCAGTTAATATGTATGTTTTCTTTTACATTTTAATTAAAATAAGAGAAAACATAAGAAAACATAAGAAAATTATACTAACAATAATCAAAAGAACCAAGGAGTTACATTGGTACCCCTCAATGTGTTCGAAAGATTAGAGCCGAAACCAGCGACTGTTTTGTCGGGGTTACTCACGGTGTCCAACAATATTTTTTTGGCACTCAAGTCAAATTCTTCGTTCCTTGAGGCGGTATCCTAAAGCCACGTGCTCACGACGTCATCACAAGATCGACCAATCGCATAAACTTCTGGGCGGATCTTGGCAAACACGTGCGTTTCTGGAAGAAACTTTTAATGATCTTGTATCGTGAGACGGTAGCGACCACTAAACGGTGGTAATGAGGTGACTATAAATTTCTGTCACTGCCACGGAACGCCGTTTAATAATCATGATAACTAGCAGATGCGATGCGAAATTAATTTAGTTATAAAACTTAATAATTTAATAAAAAGAGAGAAAAAAGGGGATCATAGATTCTGACAAAATTACTGTATAATACATTTAAATAACAATGGTTGGATTAGATGAATTTAAAAAATACTTTTGTACATTATTATTATATTAAAATAAATTTAATTACGTAATTTATTTAATTAAAGCGTAGCAGAAGTAAAGCTCACAAAAATATTGATTATCCATATACCATCCATAAATATTTAATAACTATGTTATTATCTAATACATAATTCAATAATATGATATTTAATACGTTTAATGAATTCGTGTCATTCATGTCATTTTAAAATCACTATTTCGGTGAAAATCATCTCTCGTAAAGCACACACATTTATAAATTATCATATATAATAATGAGATCATTTTGAGTACGTTGCCTAAAACACGAAAAACTAGGTCTTCGATGTATTATTAGACGTTAAGAAGCGGTGTTCTGTGAATATCCATGAATTTATCATACCGCTATTTGATATACTTGTTCCTTCATTGATGAATAATTAATGAAATTATTTTAATGATACATAAAATGAATCAATGTACAAAGATAACAAAATAAATTATATAAATTTCTTTCAAAATATAACGGTTAATACAATCTTACAATTTCATTGCAAATCAATTTCTTAAATCTTTATATAAATAATTTTCAAGCTAAAATATAATTTAAATTCTTTAATTGCGATAAGAAGTAATTTTTTTTTTACATAAAATTATTTCTAAAAATATTTGCTTAGATCAAAGATCGAGAACTATTTTATTTGATTTAAAACAAGAATTTTGTGAAGTGCGGACGAAGAGTTCTCTAGAAACTGTCAATGGGTGTGACTATAAGATCATGTTACCGTATAGTACCATTCTGATAGGCTATTACCGTTTCACGTTCAGAAAATTGAAACCTTCGGAGTGGTTGGTAAGCCAAAATGTTTGTTAATTTCACGCTTAATTGGCAAGTGGCAAGTGCAACAGTTAAAATATGTCTTCATTCCTTTTAAACACATCTGCCGATGTGCACATGATACGCGATTCGGAACGACAAGTTTCGTCGAACATATTTTTGGAGTCATGTTTCAACACATAAAAAAATCTTCGCTATATTCGCGCTTATATGTATGTAATTATGTATACACACACACATATATATATATATATACACACACACATGTATATTATACATATATAAAGTTGATATTGCACCATGTTCAATACGTAAATATTAGAATTACGTGCATATTTCGTTAAATTCACGGAAAAGGATTTAATTTAATGAAAACGAGATAATGCCATGAACCTTTGTTTATTTCCTTAGGCATTAAGACCTGCATTCTTCATATTTTGTTCAATTATTATTTTCAGAAAAAATAACCATCCCTAATTATATTATTACTTTCACAAAGACTTTTACATATATGGATTCTGGTATCTAATTATTTTGACTATGTATGTAATTATCTTGACTCATAATTACATTCTATTATGCTATTAAATATAATGAAAAAAATAATAAATCAATAGAGTAGCCTCACACGAAGTGTCACGCGCAAGTGTTACACGCGCAAGACACAGACCATGTGTGTATCTATACACTATTAATATCAACAAAAAGTATATTTGTTGAATATTAATATAATTAATCTAATCATTATTTTTCTTTAACAACACTCGGATAACATTCCATTATTTTATCCGAGATTGAAAAGATTTAAATCTAATTAAAAATAGAAAAGGAGAACAAACTTACATCATCTCATCGAATTCTCTCTCTTTCTCTTTCTCTCTCTCTCTCTCTCTCTCTCTCTCTCTCTCTCTCTCTCTTTCTTATAATAAAAATAACTGACATTAAAATTTCAAATATCTAAAATCAAGACATTCCCGAAACTTTTGTGTTTTGCACGTTAGTTTTTACGAACCTTTTCGCATTTGGTCCATGTATCACTTGTGGCTCAATACTTCCACGATCTTTTCTCTCATAAAATGTACATTATCATTTATTATAATGCATTGATGTTACATTTTAGCATTATAATAAACGTTATATTACGATAAGAATCCAGATAATTCATATTATTGCTAATTGTGAAATATTAATTAATAAATATTCATTCTTGCAATGCTACTGACAAACATGTTACCATGATAGAACTCGCTCGTTAAAACTTAATGCTTGTGCATTAATAAAGAATATGTTGCGTTAAATAAGTTTTAGCGTTATACAACAAAAAGTAAGAAGTGTTGAATATTAATTACAACATAACGATTTATATAACGAGAATAGTAACTGATTGAATAGCGATTGCTATTCCTTGCTGTGACTGGAGCGAGATTTGTGTTCCTTTACATTTGCTGCGTAGAGTTACCGTTCCAAGTATTATTCTCATCATTATCATCCCCACCTGAATGTAGTCTGTGTATATTCCCTTGTGCTCTGATTGTTGTCCCTCCTTGATTACCCAAGTATCTTCTAAACAAACTGTATCATGAATAGAATGTTTATTTAATACATGAAATAAACATTAAATTAATTACATATTTTATATACAATTTTGTTAAATATATTCAAATATAATGCAAATGCATTTATAATCACGTTTGTGTATGCAAGACTGTTTAACATGTGTTTATTGAAAAAAACCTACCCCGAAGATTGAACTACATTTCGCCGATTTGGTGAAATAGCTCTGTCGGGATTGTTTGTCATTTCTACGGAATCATTGTTGGAATCGCCACTTTGATTCGCGTCTCCGTTAGTGCCGGAAAAATAACCTACTATGTAATTGTAAATACGAATAACAGGTGTAAAAAAGGACCATATGAAGCGTGAGAAGTATCCAACATCTTGAGTTGAAGTTACCACTGCCGTGACATTAGACTGGAAAAATATAAGAAAATATAAAGTGTGTGAATATAATTAAAAGTATAATACTTTACGAAAGAAAATCATATTCTATTTACATTTTTCAAAGGAAGAATTAAAATAACGGCGGTCGGAACCAATTCTAATTCCAACAGAGTTTTGTCATTTTCCTCATTAGTCAATTCTCTTCTAGGAAATGATGTCGACATGGCGAACTGTCGGAAAGGTAGATTAATATTTTCGGTAACGTAAGTGCGTAAAGTGCGCAAAGTATCGGATGGTTCAAATTGTCCTGTATGAGAATTGCCGGATGGCAATCTAAATTGAATTCTGGTCACTGTGGCGTTATTAGTTGTTGGATTATATTTAGGTTGTTCTTGATTCTGTGGTTGTTGTATTTGTTGCTATTGAAGAAAATAAAAGAAACTTTTAATTGATTCTAAATATAAAAATCATTAATGATTAAAATGATTAAAATAATATTAACCTGTAGAGCAAGTTCCTTTTGTTTTCGTTCTAATTTATCTTGAGCGATTTGTTGCCTGACTTTTTCACGAGCTGCAGCCTCAGCAGCCTTCTCTCGCATTCTTTCTTCATGAGCTTGCTTTATTTCTAACTCTTGCTGCATTTGCCGCATTTTTTGCACATCGCGTCCCATCTTGCGCCGTTCAATTTCACGTTCCCGTTCCTTTTTCTGTTCCTCGTCTAGTCGTTGTTTTCGTTGGAGCTCAATTAACTGTCGTGCTCTTTCAATCTTTTCCTAGAAATGTGAGATAGATATAATTTGTCAATCAAAAATTATATCCTTGATAAAATAAATTCACATACCTCAGCTGTCAATTCCTTATTTTGATTATCTTGTTTAGTTTCAACATTTATTTTTGCTGATGCTTCATTATTGTCTTGTCCCTGATT